GTGAGTGATTTCTCAAGTTCTTAGACTTCAAAATGAACTTAATCCTCAGTGTGAACCCAATTACGCAGCATTCACCACAGTTCTCAGAAAATAATAAACACGAGAAACACGCTCTGTGTCTTAATGCATTAGAAGCCATCGATGTTCCCAAAGTAAATTATAGAAACATCATGTGCACGCCTTGCTTATCCATATGCATATATAGTTCATAAAGGTCTAATTCCTTTATTGCAATGAATAAAAGAAACTAACTTTTCACTGTCTTGACAAAGAATATGAAAAAGCCTCACATAATTAGATATTTGTCTGATTAGATTACTGAACCCACACACTAAACTTGAAATAAAAGTAATTTGCCCCAAAATAAAACAATTCTGATCTTCAGGGTTTTCTTTTTTCTCTTGATTTTCCTCATAAAACAGCCCTGGAAAACAGCCCAAGCAAGTCAGGGTGCCTGTCCAGCAGAAACCTCAGTATCTCCTGTTTTAGCAATAAAAATAAACACAAATGACCATCCGCCCCCAGAGCACACAGTAGAAACAGCCCCTTCCGACCACGACAAACAGAAGCCAGCCTCCAAGGCAGTTTCCCAGACACCCAGCAGCCCCACTGGCAGCTCACCCTTCAAAAGACCATTCGGCCCCCGAAAAAGCTCTCTAGAGGGGGGAGGAGAGGGGAGGGTTGGGGGAGGGAAGGGGAGCCCCTTACTCCTTCCACAGCGCTTTGCAGAGCTCCTGCCGGAACATCTGTGCTAATCCGTGTTAGGGCCCCAGGGCCACCTGCTCTAGGACAGCTCCACCGAGCCAGGAGTGAAGGGGAGCACCGCGCGGGGCCAGTCTTTGAAGCCTGTGTCAACGCAACTTCGGAACATCCCAGAAGAGATGTGCGTGGCAAGAAACCTGCTCCTGGCAAATACCAGTGCTGTTACTCCGTCGGAAGCCTCCTTTCTTCAAATACCCAACCACTGGACAGGGGCTCCCTAACCCTTACAGCCTCCTCCATAAAACTCCCCTTGGCATTAACCTGCTCCTGAATACAAGCTTAGAGGATGTAATTAGATTCACAAAAGGGTTTAAGTCTGCACAGAGGGACAGGAAACCACATGTACGAACCCTATGGATGATCTGGCCCCAACAGAAGTGCCTGCAGCCCACGACAGGGTCACAAAGGAAACTTCCCAGAGTGGGATTAAGGGTGAGGTGGCAGGTGTACTCCATTTTAAAGAAAACCACCACTGTAATATAACTTTGGGAAAAAGATACAAAGGGTAATTACAAGCTTTACAAAATAAAATTTTTTTGGTACTACTGGGGATCGAACTCAGGACCTTGCAATTGCGAAGCAGGCAGTGGAACCACTGAGCTAAACCCCCGGCCCAAATATAACTTTTTGGTTTTGGTACTGGGGATCGAACTCAGGACCTTGTGCTTATAGGGCAGGCAGCAGTATACAAAATAATTTTATGGTGTGATATTTTTTTTAAAATCTTTGCCAAAACACGTGAAAGTCTAGCTACTTTTTAGGGGCTGAGTTTGCAGTAATTTGCCCATGAATTAAGTGTACCCCCAGCTATCAGAGACAGCCGTGACCTCTAGCAACCTGCCAACCTAGATGCTCTTGCTCTATCTCGGTCCTTCGAATAGCAAGGACTTTTATCTACTGGGCTGGCTGCTTAAGCCAGTGAGTGGCTGAATCAGCAGAGCCACCCAGCAAAATAACCTGCGGCCCCCTGAAAATCCCAGAGCCCAGACCGTTCCAGACCTGGTTGCAGGATCTCCAGGGCCCTGGATCTGGAGGAAAAAAAGTGCACATGACAACCATATAGAGAGACAAACATGTGGTAGAGGGCACCCTCCACCCTGGGCTTTCTCAGAAAGGGGCATTTCTTCAGCCAAGCAAAGACGACAAGAGAGCAGCTTAGCTCAGAAGCATACGGATTCTTTCCCACTGCTTTGCAGTGGGTGCTCCAAGATCAGGGGTGAGCCACCGAATTTATCGTTTGGTCATGGTTTTAAGTATGGGAAGGAATAGTTGATGATACTGGTGTTTGCAGCTCAGGCTATGGATTACTTAAAGAAGGCATTTTCATAAACCAGACATTTTTTTCCCCTTGGCGCTGGGACGGAACCAGGGCCTCGAGCATGTTAGTCACATGTTACAGTGCTGGGCTGCAGCTGCAGTCCTGAGGTTTTTTGTTCGGGGGAGCACTCCACCCTGGAGCTCTACATGCAAGGCTAGTAAATGCTAACTAATCCATCAGGACGGAAGGCAGATTAGCAGCTACTGGGAATGGCAAAGGAAGGCGGTAGGAAGATAAAAATTTAGATACAGAAGAATAATTGTCTGGGCTTGAAAAATAAATTTTAAAACACTCATCAGTGCTTTCATAATAAGGAAAAAGTTTGGAGTTGTAGGTGTGCGAACTATGTACGTCTTTATCATTTACAGCACCCATTCACCATTCACTGTGTGACAGCAACAAATCCCAGTATTGATTTATTAACTTGGAAAGTTTCCTTCACCTCACTGAACAAAGCACCATGCCAGACTTGTTTCTGGTCTATAATCAGCAAAAATAATACCTACATCTTTCATTGAAAATTAACAAAATTATTTTGAAAAATTTGAAAACTTCAGTATGTTATTAAAAGTGTACTTGAAAGTTTTCAAATTCGCCGCTTGGTTTTTGGGTCCTGCTATACGTTAAACTATTAAATTCCATCCAAACCACATAATCGTTCGTACATCCACTGGAAACTGGCCACGTAAAATGAGTCAACCCTTCGGGACAAAGGTTGAATCCCTCTTCCCTGGATTTTTATTTATTTATTTATTTTGGTACCAGGGATCAAACTTGGGACCTTGCACTTTCGAGGCAGGTGGCAGAACCACTGAGCTAAATCCCCGGCCCCTGGAGATTTTAAAAAGACCTAAACTAGCAGGTGCCCCGTGGCTTCCTCTCTCTTTTTCTCAGGTGGGCTGGGTTCTGGCCTTTGAACAGGTTTCAGGTTGTCTGCGTCTATCATGAAATACGCACTTCTAGTTTTTAAAAATTCAGAAGTAGCTCAGAGGTAGAGCACCTGCATAGCATGGATTCACTCTCCAGTACAAAACAAAGAAAAAAGTTTAAAAGAATTATATCTATGTCACACTTCTAAGCACATGGAAAAAGGCCCAGCTTCACTCACAATTGCAGAAATGCAAAGAATAAAAAAATAATAAAATCATTTTTCATTTCTCACATTCACAGAGAGGAAAACAGAATGGAAACACTGTGCAGGAGAGGTGAGGTGGACAGCAAGTGGCTGGTAAAATGTGGAGACGTCTATCAACATTCACGGTGCCCACACCTTTCGATGCCAAACCCGCTGCCAGGAACGTGGCCACAGAGAGCCTGTGTTGCTGCATGGGCTGCGTCGTCTCCTCGCAAGAGCTGGGTCGGAAGACAAGCACATGGCTTCCCGTCACTATCGCTTGATCAGGGCTGACTCTCGTGGCGACATGCGGACACTGAGGAATCTGTGTTCAGTGACAGGGCTTCTCATAGCCCATTCTCAAATGGCTCAGAAACTGCCACTGCTCTGAGATTTTAGTTTTTGAGTTACAAGGTCTTATTAAAAGTTTTTAAAGGGCCAGGGATTTGGCTTAGTGGTTCTGCCGCCTGCCTCGCAAGCGCAAAGACTGGAGTTCGATGCCTGGTACAAAAAAAAAAAAAATCACACAAACGTTTTTAAAAGGAGCATATTCTCAGGGTGTTGTGGCCCACTCCCATGATCCTAGCACTTGGGAAGGCTGAGGCAGGAGGATCATGAGTTCAAGGCCAGCCTGGACTACAGAGAAAGATCCTATCTCACAAAAAAAAAAGATACTCCGCTTAGAAATGTGGTTGATAATGTGGCAAAGAATGTTCTTCATTCATTGCTGAACCTTCTCCCTTGGTTCTTCACACACACTAGGGATGCCTGGTAAATGGACACAGGAGGCATCCTCTCTTTCCCTCTCTAGTGTAAAACCCCAAACACACCAGCCTGCCACTCTGTGAACAACAGACAATGACATGTCACCTCACCGGAAGCACAATATTATCTACGTACTGCCAAAGACACATATATTTGAATCTTTTTTTTTTTGGTACTGGGGATCGAACTCGGGTCCTTGCACTTGCGCAGCAGGCGGCGAAACCACTGAGCTAAATCCCCGGCCCCAAAGACACGTGTATTAAACTCACTTAGTAAGTGAAGATCTTTTTAAAAAAATCAACAATAACAGCGTAAGGAATCTTTTCCTTTTTTTCTTGTTTGTTTGTTTGTTTATATGTAGCTTCACTACGCAGTTCAGGCTGGCCTTAAACTTACTACATAGCCCAGGCTGCCCTAGAACTCACGGTGATCCTCCTGTCTCCGCCTCCCTAGTGCTGGGATGACAGGCCTGCGCCACCACGCCTGGCTGGAAACTTTTCCATTGTTAATGCTGGGATCATCCCAAGGTATACACTCAGGCTTCCATGTCCACGTGTTCTGCATCCAGAACCAACCTCAGAATGAAAATATGTGGGAAAAAATTCCTCTTGGGGGCCAGAGATTTAGCTCAGTGGTTCTGGCGGCTGCCTTGCAAGTGCAAGGTCCCGAGTTCGATCCCCAATACCAAAAAAAAAAAAAATGCTTCTGCACTTAACATGTATCGACTTTTTCTGATGACCATGCCCCGAGCAACACAGTATAACTGCTGACAAGGTACGTTAGGTATTATGAGGCATCCGGAGGTGGTTTAGAGCATGTGGGAAGATGTCCACAGGTTGCACAGGAATACAATGCCATTTCATGGACAGGACTGAGCACTCGAAGATGGATGCAAACCTAAGTGCACGCACGCTCACAACTTCAATCCTAGTCAAGGTCTCGGTGGCGGTGACACGAACAAACCACCCACTCGGGCTTCCCATCTCAATGTTCTACTCACTGCTGCCCGTCCTGGTCAACACGGGCAGACCCAGAGCTTACCTTCTGACCACCAACTTCAAGGTCTTATGGGACCCTTTCACCAGGCAAATGGCTTCCTGTCTAAACCCCGAGAGGCCAACGTCATTGATGCCCACGATCTCGTCTCCGGCCAGTAACTTGTCCACAGCCGCAGCTTTACTTCCTTCCTCAATCTGCAACAGAGAAGCAAGTTCCATCAGCCTCCAGAAGGAGCAGCCGATTCCTGAGTCCAGCAAGAACACACCAGGCCAGGGCACACCCAACTCTGGGACCCAGGGCCGGCTCTGGGATTACAAAGGAACCAAAGGGCCCTCATGGGCACCAGAAGCTCGGAGTGAACAGGGCCCAGACGCTGACGCCACTACAGAGGGAGACTGCAGATGTGCCTGCCTCCATCACCCACCTGTGTCCTTCCCAGGGCAGGGATGCTGTTTACCTAATGAGGCCGGTGGAAACCTCAGAAACCAACCAAAAATAAGGGATCGAAAGACACTAATTAATTTGCTAAATTTTTGCACAGTTTTTATTATGCGCTAATTATTTCTCGTACATCATCCCTCTACCTGGCTAGACTGTTTTTTAAAGTTTTATGCAGTGTAATCCAGATACCTCACAATCATTCATATAAAGCACATACAACGGTGTGGCTCTTGGTGTAGGCACAGAATTGCACAATCATCACCACGATCCATTCACATTCCCCTCATCCCCAAAGAAACTTTGCGCTCACTAACAGTCACTTTCCAATCCTTCCTGCCCCTGGCAATCACTGATGTACTTTTTGTGTCTAGACCCTAGAGATCTGCCTATTTGGGGTGTGGAATCACACATTTGTCCTCCTCAATGCTTTCAAAGTTCATGTATGTTGTAGCACGAGTCAGCAATTCATTCCTTTTTATGGCTGGACAATATTCTATGGCAGGAACGGACCGTATTTTGTTTATCCATGTGTCCGTTGGTGGACATTTGAGTGTTTCTGCATTTGGTTATGATGAACAATGCTGCTGTGAACGTTGGTACACAAGGTTTTGAGTGGACATTTTTTCATTTCTGCTGGGTATATATCTAGAAGTCAAACTTGTGTGCTATGGTAACTAGGACATTTTGAAGACCCACCAGACTATTTTCCAAAGCAATTGCACCATTTGACATTCCCATCGGAGAAGTTTCCAATTCCTCCACATCTTTGCTCACACTAGTCCTAATCATATTACTGTACTATAACCATGCTATGTGTATTGAGGCAGTCACTATGACTCAAGGCTAAATACTGTCTGTTCTACATGCCTTAAATGATCCCTTCAAACTCTGAATGTCAGGCTATGGGTGTGGCTCACTGAAAAGAGCACTTCACTAGCATGTACAAGGCCCCAGATTCCATCCGCAATAAAACAAAAACAAAAAAGCTTGAATGCCATCCATTTTATATCTTTTATTCTAAGAAAATCGGTTTCAATTATTAACTAGTTTTTCTTATACAGTAATAATATAATTCAGTGGCAATTCACCCCAGCTCATACATCTATTTTCTGCACAAGCAGTTGGCAAATTACAGCAAGTGAGCCAAATCCAGCCAGTGGGCTCTGGGTTGCCTTGTTTTACTGGAACACATCCACAGCTGCTCATTTACATATTGCTATCGGGCACCACTGAGTCTCTGAATCCACAAAGCGAAAAATATTTACTACTTGGCTTGTTCCAAAAAAGGCTGGCCAACTCCTGTTTATCTCCAAAAAGCTTTACGAACCATAAAGAAACCCCAGATGGGAGGTGGCAGGAGTCTGGTTGTGAACCATCCATGTGGAGTGTGAAAGTTCGCCTCTCAACTGTACACCAGGTTAACCTGGGGCTAACTTCTCCAAAAGCCAGTGCAAAGACTCATGGAATTGCTTACAAAGCAACTGTTCCAAAGCTGCTGATTTTTCTAAAATCTCCACCTAGAACCCAGCACAGCTAAACTCTTACATTAAAAAAGGGTCAACACCACACACAAAATTAAAAGACCATTCCCAACAAATGTACGAAATGATTCCTTCAGTCAACAATGGGATTTCAAAAGTCAAGACAAGCTGGACATGGTGGTGTGTGCCCATAATCCCAGCACTCTGGGAAGCTGAGGCAGGAGGACGCTCAAACCAAGTCTGGGCAACTTAGTGACTGAGCAAGACCCAGTGTCAAAATACAAAAAAAAGAAAGAAAAAGAAAAAGAGCTGGGGATACAGCTCAGTCCAAAGGTCCTAGGTTCAATCCCTAGTAGAAGAAAAAAGAAAGGGGGAGGGAGGAGCGGAGTGGAGGGAGAAAGCCAGAGGCCAGAGGCCACCCAAGTGGATGGACCAAGGGCGGCTGGCTGCAAAGCAGGGGCAGAGTGGGGCAAGGTGGCCTACAGGCAGAGTGGCCAGCAGCAGAAAGCACTTAAAGCCTGCAAGTGGGGTGGGAGGGGACAAAGAGAGGCCATCTATGCAGAAACCAGGACTTGGAGGACAGACAAGCACCCAGAATGGATCCCAAGCCTGCAACACTGGTGGAAGAAGGGCCAGCCCAGGAGATAGGGTGAGTCACAAAGTGTAGGGAGGGAGGGAAGGCAAAGCTGGCTCCAGTGGGGTCCTCCAGTACCCTAGCTGGCATCACTCGGGCTACCAGGGAAGCCAGCAATGGCATCCAGAGGCCAGGCCAGCTATCCAGTGGACATGCAAGACCATGGTGGGTGGGCAGAGAAACAGAACCGAATTTCACTCTTGCCTTTAGACAGTTATGCATTCTAGGTGGAATCCACCAAAGTGGTGAATGGATTAGCTGTGGTATACACACAATGGAATATTATACAGCCTTTAAAAACAAAAGGCTGCCTATGGGTGTCGCTCAATAGCAGAGCACCTGCCCAGCATGCATGAGGCCAGGGTTTAGTAATGGTCAGCACCCTCTAAAAGGATATTCTCCTACACGCTACAACACAGTCAACTTTGACACCTGATGCTAAGTCAAATAAGCAGACGTGAAGAGATACTGAATCATCTGACTTGTAGGAAGCAGTCAGAGTGGTCAAAACCGTACACAGAAAGTAGAATGGAGGTTGCTAGAGGCTGATGGAGGAGGGAACAAGGAGTTAAGTGTTTAGTGGTATAGAGTTTCAGTTCTGGGGGATGCAAACTCCTGAAAATGAATAGTGGTGAAGTTTGTACAACACATGAATGTATTTAATGTCACCGAATTGTACACTCAAAGAAGGTCAGGGCAGAACACATTTTTGTTTCTGATGGTCCATTTTAAGTTGTGTATATTTTTCCACACTAAAATGTTATGTTCCTCCATATCTAAAACCACATACGCTTCTCTCTGGTACCTTTGAATTCAAGTATTTCAAGAAATTCTCAGGTATAACCTTGATGACTAATGTCTTAGTTACTTTTCTCGTTGCTGAGACAAAATACCCGACATCCAAAGTTAAAGGGGTAAGATTTATTTAGCTCACAGTTTATAGAGGTTTCAGTCCATAATAGGCTGGCAGCAAGTCAGTGTGGCACATGGCAGAGGGGCAACAGTTCATGGTGGTGGACAACAGAAGCAGGCAACAAGGGAACCTTAACAGCGTCTTTCTGCGCCTTTTATCTTACCCAGACCTCCTGGATTAGGGAGGAGCCAAGCCAATCAGTGGACCGGTTTAGTAATCACACGCCCTAATCCCAGCGTCACACACTCTAGATTCAGCCACCTCTGAAAAAGCCCTACCTATGATGCATGAGGCTTTGGGGGGACATCTAGACACGAGCCATAACAACTAACAGCCGGTATTGTCTTGGGGCAGTTTCTGAAGCAGCACTTTCTCAGAGTGACAAATTACCTGTGTCTGACTCAGCTACCACAGTGGGTTTTTCAGACTCACTCTCACAAACACTTGTGGGCCAAGTCCTCTGAGACTCACCATGCGCTGCGGCCCTGGCACCCCACCTTCCCTGGGAAGGGGGACTGCGTGTGATGTCTCCTCCACACAGACTCCCAAAGGAAGGCCACATTTCTTCCACCCCACTGCCTGCCTCTCCCAACTACACCTCCTACATCTCCCAGCAAAACTATGTTCTCCTTTGGGAGATAAGGTAGTATCTATTTTCCACCAGCTTCCCAGCCAAGAGAAAATATCTCTGGGATATTTATGTGCTCGTGGGGGAGGGAGACAGGAAAGGACAGGCTTTGAAAACTCATATTCTACCCTCTTACTGCATTTCATTTCTCATGTTCAGGTAAATTAAGTAAGTTAGGGCTTGATGAAGAACTAGCCTGAAGCTGGCCCTGGTTTCCACAGGACAATGACAGGGCCCGCCAGTGTCCCGGCAGTGTATGGGGCCTTGCAGGGTTACAAGGTGATGCTAACTTTAACGCCCTGTAGGCAGAATGTTCCAGCCACGTGTGCAGCAGTTCTGTCCTCCAGGAGCCGGGAAAATCCAATAGAGAATGAAATCTCCTACAATGTGCAGAACGCCTTGCTGTTCTTCTGGAAAGGGTTCTCTGGAAAGAGCAGAGAAAAAACCCAAACAGCTCAGGAAAGTCTTTTCTGGAACAAGGTTTTTCACACGTTGTGAAACACCTGCCACAGACGATCGGGCAGGAAAACTCACGATGCAAAGGAAGCTTCGCAGGAACCCAGATGCACACTGAAAGGTCCACATCCGGCGCATGGGGCACGGTGGGGCTGAAACGGGTGAGCAAACGAAAGCACGGGAGGGAACGGCACCCTGAAAGGAGCAGCGCACACCGGGGCGCCAAGGTGCCCGCGTGTGAGGAAGGCCTCGGCGGGCAGGTGGGGTGCAGAGCCTGTGCAGCACTGTGCTGGTCAGAAAAGTGGGAACCTGACCCCGAGTCGGGGCCCAGACAGAGTCCTGCAGCCACAGGGGCCCAGCGAGGGCAGGCAGAGGACCGGACCGGGAGTGCAAGTGCTGTCACGGGAACCAGCTGCGGACGCTAACCATGCAGCCACGCTGCACACGCAAGTCTTCAGCAGCTAGAACTCAAGGGCGAAGAGACGAGGAGAAGATGAGGCAGCATGTGGCCCCGTCTCTGCACTTCTCCTCACAGGGAGACAAGAACCTGGGGCAACACAGGGCAGAGGACCAAGGAAACCAAGGACTTCCAAGGTGGCAGGGCAAGGCAGAACGACGCCAGCCCTGATACCCCAAGATTT